ATCAAAGCATTAAGTGGGTGTGAATGGGCAACTGTGGACCAAGAGCCATAATGGTTGCAGTACTGTTCAGTACTACATAGTGGACTCACCCCGCGGTCCCTTTTTCTTTTTCAGGCGCGGGGCAGGCAGTACTAGGTAAGGTGGCGCTAGGTGCCTAAGGCTCCGAGGCAAGAAAGGAAGCAAGCCAACCTTTGAACCCACCTTCTTTGGCCGACCAAAAACATTGAATCCCGTCCATATTTTCCCACCCCCTCTTCAAAACTAATAACTCCATCCTCCCATACAATCTTTATTTTCCCCTCTATTCTCAGGTACACTTCCCTCTGCATTCTTATCTCAAAACCTTGACCCGCTCACTTTCTTCCGCAGAACTCTATCCATCCATCCATCACCATGTCTGACGTCGCTGAGACCAAGCCCGACCCCACCACCAGCGCTCCTGAGGCCGCTGAGAAGCCCGAGACCACCACCACCGAGGCCGTGGCTGAGGAGGCCAAGGCTGCTGCTGAGTCTGCCGCTGAGACCGTCAAGGAGACTGCCACCAAGACCACCGACAGCGTTTTCTCCATGTTCGGCGGAGGTCCCAAGAAGGAGAAGGTCGAGGCTGAGGATGACAAGGACGAGCCTTCTGGCTCTTCCAAGGCCCAGAAGGCTGAGGAGGAGGTGAGTCAATACAAAAGTTTTTTTTTTGGGTGGTTTTGGGAAGAATCACTCGTTGGCTGGGCTTGCGGGTTATTGTTCAGACATACCCCGCTTTCGCCCCTCCATGGCGGAGAGCTTCTGTGTCCAAATCTTTGTTTTGTCTCTTCTGATTTCTATCGCGCGGGGAACCAGTTTGACTCGATTGTGAGATAAAGCCTTTGACTAACTAGTCGCTTGCCTCAACAGGATGAAGCCCCCGAGTCCCCCGATGTCCACTTCGAGCCCGTCATCCGCCTGACGGAGAAGGTCGAGACCAAGACCAACGAGGAGCTGGAGGAGCAGACTTTCAAGATGCGTGCTAAGCTGTTCCGCTTCGACCGTGAGAGCAAGGAGTGGAAGGAGCGTGGCACTGGTGACGTGAGACTGCTCAAGCACAAGGAGAACCAGAAGACCCGCCTTGTGATGCGCCGCGACAAGACCCTCAAGGTCTGCGCTAACCACTACAGTGAGTTTTCGCCTCGAGACTGGAGCGGAGGGTCTCCACACACGTTCCAGGTGACTGATGCTTTGCTCTAGTTGTTCCCGACATGACGCTCAGCGCCAACGTTGGCAGTGACCGTAGCTGGGTCTGGAACGCTGCTGCCGATGTCAGCGAGGGCGAGCCTGAGGCTTGCACCCTGGCCATCCGTTTTGCCAACAGCGAGAGTAAGTCCTGTTCCCCTTCTGAATGTCCCGGAAACGGTATGACTAACGCATGGTTCCAGACGCCAACCTGTTCAAGGAGGCTTTCGAGACGGCACAGAAGGAGAACGAGAAGCTCCTCAGCCAGCAGTAAATGCGGGGAATTCCAGCAGCTTCGAATCTTCCCCCTCCCAGCGGCAAAGTGATATAGAGGGCTATCTTTAATGCACATTTCGATCTCTCCTTTGCACTACGAATTTGATGTGGACTTCTTTTTCGTCATTTACCTCTCTCATCCCCCGCACATGCGGATTCACTTTCCAATAATCCCCATCGACCCTTGTTTCTATCTCGTACCTTCTTCCCCTTCCCCCCTTTCCTTGACACGATCTGTATTCCTCCGTCCGTGAGGAGACAGAATGACGAGGCCGGCTCTGCCGAGATTCGGAGTCGATGCATGTACAGACAGATTCGACGTGGTTTGACCCCGAGGTTGAAAGTATGTTCTCTGGCGAGTCGGCAGTAGATAGACACCATTTCCCCCAAAATACACGTATGACATTATGAAGCAGAAACTCTGGTGTTTTGGTATATTGGATGACTTTGTTTTCCTGATTTATGGTGTAAGCAGGGTGTAAGCAGGGTGTGAGATTAACTGGATCTCTGAGTGTGGAGGGGTACTGCAGTGAACAGCCCATGAAATTGCAGATTAGATAGAATAAAGTACGAAGTACTAGATGATGACTTATTCCGGTCTGAGGGGGGAGTTGCGATGCGGGAAAGTGCAGTGCAGAGAGTCCAGTAAGAGTAACTGAAAGGTTAGTACCAGGTAGTACTCGAGCAGTGAGCAGGAAGTAATCAGTCAATCCCCGCGCGGAAAGCTTCCCTCCCACCCAGCTTTCTCTTGCTACCACTTGTGCCTTTATCACCTTAGCACCTTAGCACCTGAGCCTACAGTATCTCGTCACTTAACTTCAATTGAGCGTCAATCTCAGTTAAATTTGCAGTAACCCTGAGGAGTAAGAAAGCGAAAGCGAAAGCGAAAGCGACAGACATTGCAGCCTCGATCAGATCCCATCCCGGCAAACACCCGACCTCAACTCCGCCTTGATTCGTCGCGCCTGCTTGAGCCCGATTGCTCTCCGTCTACTTCCTCCCAAAACAACCAGTCTGCCACCCACCCCCAGAGGAAGGGATTCAGCCAAGCTCGCCATTCACTCAATCCCTAATTCCCTATCTCTCCGCGCAATCAACTGAAGCCTTTAAACAACGATGCCCGACGTGAGTCCGCCGCCTCTCCCGTTCCTGAGCATTGCGAGCGAGCGAGCCATTGCTCGCTCTACTCGTGACGCGCGGACTGGACCCCGGACAAGACATTAATTGCAGCGCGCTGACCCAGCTCCTCTTCTTATAGGTCAAGAGAAATGTCCGTCTGGTGACGGAGCAACATATCCTGTACGTTCCTACACCTTGGCCTCTGTCTGGTCTTTACCTGAGCTTAGCTCGGAGTCATCACCACCACCACCACCATTCAACCATCCTCTTCAGCTCCCCGTCACATCGCAGCCACCTTAACATCTCCCAAACCGTGATTACCACGTTACATATCCGAGCAAGAACGCGCTCGCGCTTCCGCTGTCTTCCTTTAGTCTCATTAAAGGACAATATGTGAGGGAGCTAGTGAAAGTGCTCGAAGGGCTAACCAGACTGTTTCGCGCCCGCGCGCCCCCAACAGAAACAAAGACTCCGGCGTCGAGGGATTCCCTCTACGGTCATGGTCAATTGAAATCTACCTGGTCAACGACCACGGCGAGCAGGTCCCCGCAAACGTCTTCGACAAGGTGACGTACACACTGCACCCGAGTTTCGGCCCGCGGGCTGTTCAGAGTACGTTCTTTGCTTTTTCACTTTTCTCTTAAGGGGAGTTTGTATTTCCCGGAATGGTTGGGTTTCTTTCTCGTCTCATGATTCCCTCATTCACCTGAATTCCCGCGTTTGCACGTTTGCACTTGTGTGTGTATATGTGCATCGAGGAGGGGAGGTTTTTTCTTACCCTTAGCGGTGTCTGCAATTATTGGGGCCGGGGGGGAGTTCCTACTCTTAGCGGCCTCTAAAAATCATAGGGAGAGGGAAGTGTTGGGGGCAGAAAGAACCACCCAACATAGGATTACTGCAAAACGAGTTCGTGGTCCCATGGACTGGCTAACACGCGTTTTGTTTCGAGATGATAGCTTTTAAGAATCCTCCGTTCAGAATCTCTGAGGAAGGATGGGGTGAATTCGACATGCAGATCGGCCTGACTGCCGCCGACAAGGAGCATTTCGTCACCCATGACCTCAACTTCGCGCAGGCGCGCTACGAATCCAAGCACGTTATTGTGAGTGCATCCTGGGTTGCTCCTCAGGGTTGAGATTGGAAGACTGACCTGGGTTGTCCCCGAAACAGACCTTCAAGAACCCCAAGCCTGCGCTGCTAGCGCTACTGCGTGAATCCGGCCCCGTTCCTGGCGACGAGAACGGAGTCAAGTCGAAACGCGCCGCGGGAGGCGAGGAGGGGTCGAAAAAGAAAAAGAAGACGGAGAAGAATGTAATTTTCCCTCGTTCGATTTGGTCCCATCTTGCTGGCTTTTGTAGTGATCACTCGGCTAATTTGTGTTCACATAGGTCGACATGGACAAGCTGGCCGATGGCCTCCAGCGTCTTGGCGAAGACGATCTTCTCCAAGTGGTGCAGATGGTCCATGACAACAAGGCTCCAGACTCATATACCAAGAACGATGTTGAGCGTGAGTCCCCCTTGTTCACCTTTCTTGTTAATTCTTTAGATCAGCAACTAACCCCAACCTGATGGATTTATCATCGACAGAGGGTGAATTTCACGTTGATCTCTATACCTTACCCGACAGCCTAATCAAGATGCTCTGGGATTTCACACAGGAAAAAGGTGCTTTGTGATTTTGATTTTTTTTGTCGGGCTTTCTCTCTTTTCTTCCATCTTCCTTGTCTCTCTTCCGACTACCATTTTATTTTATTTTCCCCTCTCTCTCGTCCGAATTCTTCGTGATAAAACAAAAATTAATCATACCACTTTTCCTGCGCTGTTTGATCCCGTGCAACTTTCGGTCTTGTCTCTGGACCTCAGGACAAACCCACATATGTGTCTGCATGGCTTGGCTTCTCCCTTTCTTGCGAAAGTGGATGGGCTGTTAGGAGTCGTTGCATTGAAGCTTTCTTTTGCTTGGTTGGCGAGAATACAAAATCTTTCTGCCTGTCTGCTGGGGTTTAGGGTCGGTAAGAATACATACACTTTGTCTGTGATGGGATGGGGAGGCTCTGGGTTGGTTCTGTGGTTACTGGATGATTGTGACAGGGTCGGTATGCGATATGGGATGATAGGATGCCATTCCTTCACAAGATGGTCATACTTATGATGTACGGTAGGCTACGTGATTCGGGCAACTGGCTAGTGCTTGTACTTCATCTTCCTTACCTAGGTATAATCGGAGGTCTGGACTGTATCAGAATCTTTAGGGGATTGCGCAGCAGGTATAGATAGATCGCCGGAGTTGTCTGGAACCACGACTCCACTCCACTACATATACCATGTATAACCACTACACTACACTACTTAGACAGACAGTGGAAAGCCCGTCAAACTTGATCTGGATATGATGACGATGATGACGATGATGATCGGTGATTAGAATAAAGTGGATAATAATACATAGCCAGAGCCAGAGCCAGAGCCATAGCCCTGAGATTCGACTAAGCGAAGGACACAACTACCAAACCAAAGATGATGACGCAGACATCCCAAAAGAAAGGAAACTCATATCGTGACGAGAAAAAAACCATGGAGGATATCTTCAAGCTCAGGATAAAATCAAATCAAGACAAACAGTAAAGTAACCCTGACGACACCATGACGAATTCTATATGCGAGCCCGGATTTTGAATTTGTAACATGAAAAGAAAAAGGAGTAAAACGCCCGCTGTGGTGCATTGCAATGCTTGGATTAATGATGGTGGTGTGGTGTGGTGTGGTGTGGTGAACGGAGGTGGGTGTGTCGAGTTTAAATTGAGATGGAGATTGAATGGGAGAGGACATGTGCAGCGTAGCGTGAACGTGGATCGGGATTGATCGTCAAATTGGGATTAGTGGTGTTGCTTTAAAGGATGCGGTGCCTGTCCATGTTGATCGTGATTAGTATCGAATGTTATCGGAGATGGGTAAGGCGGGAAGACAACGTACATCTTCAACAAGTCCTCCAGACTGTCGGCACTCAGACTCCGCCCCTTGGGAATCTGGCGCATGATCTCGACGATCGTGGCGAAGACATCCCCGTCGCGGTACGCCAGCAACGCCGGGGCCTCGATATTATCCATCTCCGCGATTTCGTGGTGCAGCTTGATGAAGTGAACGGTGGGTTGGCGGCGAGCGATGGTGTTCAGGCAGTCTTCGACGAGGGCACTGGGAGTGGACTTCCCAGAAAGTTAGTTTCGGCCACTACAACCAATAAGCAGAGAAACATACCTCCGGATCATACAGACAGACGACCACCACCGTCCCCGAAGTGACCTTCTCAATGGCATCCAGATACCCAACGGCATCCACGTGGTCGACGGACCCATACAACCGGCGGCGAGGACTGGGCTTGCGGAGCGTACGGGCCTGCATCTCCTGCATGCGCGAGGTGCGCCACTGGCGCAGAAACCGCTCCTCGTCGTCGCTGCCCGAGGACCCGTCAGGCGGGGAGGAGTTGTGCAGCAGCGTGGCGTCGTCCGTGGTGGACTTCATCGAGTAGTGGGGTCGGTCAATGCCGGCGACGCTCAGCAGGGTGCGGCGGAAGGAGGATTTGCGGGCACGCTCGAAGGCCTGGGCGTCGGCGATGACACCCTTGGGGCCTGTGTTGGCATCGAAGGTGGCATTGGGGATCTTGTAGGTACTGGTGTTCCGGGAGTGCATGGCAGAGGATCTGTGGAGGTCGTCGTCGTCGTCGTCGTCGTCGTCTGCGTCGGAGAAGTGAGGGCGGTTGTGGTCTTCGTGATCGTTATCGTCGGAGGAGTGATCGGAATCGTCTCGATCGGAGTGATTGTCTCGGTCTTCAGGGTGAGTCGAGAACCGGTCTCGATTGTTCTGAAGGAGTTGATTGAATTCTTCTTGGGCGGCGGATGACATCTTGAAAAAGAAGAAAAGAGGAAAAAAGGAACCAAGTGTCGGGAGGGTATGCCGGGTGTTTTAAAGGGAATGGGTCGTTGACCAGAGGAGTGAAACGATGATATTCTTAGAATGGGGGGGGGGGGG